GGAGGAAAGAAAGAAGAGGTTTAGGAATAATTGTTTTATATTTTTAGTAAAATACATTTATAGATTCTTAAGGCTGGAAGGAAACTTTAGAGTGTACCACTTTGTGAAGAGGTAAATCCCATGAGTGGAGAGGCAGAATCTACTGTAACTTGCTTTATGTCTTCTGTGAGTTTATGTGCACTGTCATAGTTGTGAACAGAATGTTTGCCCTGGTATAGTGTGGATGGTGTCATGGTTATTAACATTTGTGAATGATATTTTGAATCTTATTGTAGTATTAAATTTATGAGCATATATTTGTTGAGTTACATAGAATTATTTTATGTATCTCCTTACTATCAGGGGTCTCTGAGCTAAATGCTGATGATTTTTGACATTTAATCTTTAAGATGGCATTTTTCCATTAATGAAATTGGGACTCAGATTGGACAGTTGTAAAGCATGGAAACAACACAAAGTAAATATCAAAAACATTGGCATTTTCTTTGAGATGGGGCATCCCTGTAACCCTAGCTGGCATGGAATTTGCTATGTAAACCAGGCTGGCCTCAATCTCATAAAGAGTTGCCTGGCTCAGCCTCCCAAGTGGTGGGATCAAAGAGGTGCACCACCATTCACGGGACTGGTATCTTTTTAAAAATGAACTTTTATTCTATTCTGAGTCTTTTAAAGATAATAGTATATGTAGAGGAAATGGGAGCTATGCTGTAATAAGCTACATTAAATACTATTTCACTGCATTTTCTTCCTATCTATATCATATATAATGTCACTTCATAGGTGTCAAAATATATAGAAAATATTTTTTGAAAAAGCCATAAACAGAAACTTTTTACTCAGAAAAACGTCACTTGAAAATTGAATTATTTTTAGCAAAAGTGAAAATAAAACTCTCAGTCTATATTTTAGAAACTGCATCTTCCTTTCTTCAGTTTTTGGTTGATTTAAACTTTCTCTCGTTAACCTAGAGTAACTAAAATAAATCAGTATGATCAAGTAAATCATCTAGCTACCAATACTGCACTATAAATGTTTCACTGAAAGTGTTTTGTAGGGAAAGGCTGCAGGTACTTGGGGCTTGATACGGGATGTAGATTGACAAACTGCAGACTTATCATAAGCAGGCAGTGCAAAACAAGATTCATGTAGTGCCCACTTGAATTTTAAGGACTATTTTAACCATAGCAAGGTACATATTATGTTAATCAAATTTTTCCTTTCCTAACTTGAGAAAGCCACCAAATATATAGAATAAATTAAAAGATATGTCTTTAGTTTTGAGATCTTTGATAATCTCAGAGACTTTAATCTTTTAAGTAACCAAACCTCTCACTTTTTGAACAGAAGTCAACTATATCTTAGAAAATTTCTCAATATTACCCGATTTTCAAGTCTGCTCCTTTTGAAATATGAAAAGTTTGTCCCAGTCGACTCTACAAACCTCACAGCACCACCCCCTGAAGCACTTGAAAAAAAAAAAACAGAGAAAACTTTGTGTATGTAGTATATGTGTGAGTGGGTGTGCATGTGAATATGCACATGAGCATGCATGTGTGTACATCAGCATTTGGGGGCCAGACGTTGCTACCACACACCTTCCCCCAAAGATTCCCAGCCTAATTTTCTATGACAGAGTCTGTCGCTGTACCTGCAGCCCACCAACTCAGCCACATCACTTTGTACATACACCCAAAGAACTCGATATCCTAGTATAAAGATATCTGCTCACCCATGTTCACCATGTTCATTGCTGCTCTATTAACAACAGTCACGAAATGAAAACAACCTAAATGCTCATCAACTAATGAATGGTTTAAATATGGTACATTTACACAATGGGATATTATCCACCTGATCAGAAAAATAAAATTATGAAATTTGCAGGTAAGCAAGTGGAATGGGAAACAATCATCCTGAGATGACCCAGGCCAGAAACATGAATATTGCATGTTCAAGCTCATAAATGAATGCTAGATTTGAATGTTTAGGTATATGTGTTTAAAATAAAAAATCCATTTAAATTAGGAAATTAGTAAGAGGCCATGAAGGGCTTATGGAAGGGGAGATAGAATTACTAATATAAAAGGGAGAAAGGAGAGTAATGGAATAGGAAGGGTTAAATTGTGTGGAGAATGGGAGGGCAGGGAAGAGAAAGGATTATGAGGAGAGATAACCAACACTAGAGGCCTTTTGAAAAAGTTAATGGAAGCTTGTTATTTTAGAAGCTTCTTACAATATGTACATAGACCATATAAAAAGACCTTAAATGGAGCTATCCTATAATGGCAAACAATCCCCCTACCAGAATCAGGAATGGACCCTTCTTTTGGTCTTGTTGGTCAGGGCTGTCCCATAAACCCTCAAACAATTCTAGCTATTGCCATTGTTCTTTCTTTTCCACCACAACTTAATTGTAAAACCTATCACCTATGACACTACACACACAAGTTGTGAACAAACCTGGAGAAATCAAACTGATACTGACTTTCAAGCTTCATTACTGCTAGTTGTTTTCTAGCAGTGTTGGAAGGTGCTATGCATGCTACCAGAAGAGAAAAGTAATCATTAACCTTACCTAGATGTGAACTCTGTGAGCTACCATAACAACTGGTCTGACAAGATTGACTATTAGTATAACAATGGCATAAATGTTATGAGAGTAACTAACCACTTTCTGATTGGAATTAAGGCCCACTTCACAAGATGGAATCCCTACCTGGCACTGTTTTCAGGGCCAAGAACCTGTGGTTAGACAGATTACAGGCCTTAGGGGAGATCCTCCTACAATTATCCTGCTAAATGGACATAGTATTAAACTGACTCCCAATAATTATTGCAATACTCATAGATTAGTGCATCTCTCAGCTCTCACCAGGAAGGCTGCTTTTCATCTCAGTTGGCAAGTAACACATAGACCCACAACTGGTCAACATGCAGAGAATAAGAGACTGGAGAGATCATCCATAAATGGATGAGCCACCTATCTCACACCCTCTGTTTCCAGGGATCATAGATCATTGCAGAAGATGGGGTGGAACGATTGTTAGAGCCAGTGGTAGTGGATGAATACAAGGAAGCTGTTTTCCAGACTCAAGAGGGAAATTATAGATATCAATCCGTAGTGCTTGTTACATCACACATATGTACAAGTCAGGCAAACCCCCAGCATGGATGGCAGAGATGAGCAAGAAGAGCCAAGTCAATTGAGGATCTATTGGCAATTAATAGCTGCTGGGAGAGAGTTAGTTTTGTTTAAGTGTATGTTGCTAGGTAGGTTGACCAGGCTAGAGCCACGTCCAAGAGCATTGGGGAACACAAATTATACTCTATACAACTTAAGAAACATAATACATGGCCTGAAGGCTGGAGGTTAGTAAGATGAGAGTGGAGATATGGGGTGGGGTTATAATATGATAAAAAATACATTGTATGAAACTCTTAAAGAATCAACACAAATTTGAAAAATATTGAAAATCTTGGTCCTTGGTACTTGTGACTGTATTTGTGTTTGGATATAGATATTTTGAAATCAAAGTAAAATTAAGTGAGCCCTAATCTAATAAAACTGTTATCCTTCTAAGCTCCTTTTATTAGAAAAGGAGGGAAAGAGAGCCAAAGACATGAACTAAGTTAGCTATGTAATGATGGGAAAAAGAGTACGGAATTATGCCCTCACATTTCAGCAATGCTGTGGTCTTCCAAACTCTAGGAAAAGCAAAGGACAGCCCTCAAAGTTTTGCAAGAGTTCATGGCCCTGCCAGCATCCTGACTGAAAGAGAATAAATTTTTGGCTCATATGTATTTAGTAGTTTGTTATGGCAGCTTTAGGAAATAGACTCCCTTAACTGGAAGATTTCTGTATGAAATAGAAAGTAGTCCCTAATGTAGAGTTCTGAGGAGAATATGGCACAACGCTGTCAACGGATGGTTGGCTGACTGAAGCCACGGAAAGCCAATTGCAGTTGATTGGGGGGTGAATGAGAAAATGAAAACATTAAAAAGGGAAATTAGCAAGTATTTGGAGGGGTTTAAGTGTCAAAAAAATCAAAATCAAGTGGAGAGCTATTCATTAATAAAATTATATAATGTTGCTCATAAGATGCATTTTAATTCATATTCAAAGACATCATTTTAAATAACTTTTCATGCAGTACTGAATATCTTCTAAAGTGACTATATATATTTAATCATTTCTCCATAAAGTTCAAATACAAACTGCTTTATGAATTAAATCACTTAGCAAGAGGCAGTAGATTACTAATATACTAACACATTTATTTTGGTAAGAATATAAAAATCATGATAACATTTATACTGCTTTTATTTGTGCACTCTTTTGTCCTTGCCATAGATGCAGTAGACAGGATCCCCATTTATTTCTTGTAGTACTGTTTTATGAAGGGTATATGATAAACTGTGGCTAATAACTTTTCCT